TCCAGATCCAGATCCAGATCCAGATCCAGATCCAGATCCTGGTGTCATGTCATCTGGCCCTCGTGGCTCTACATGGATCTGTAGGGAGCATCATGGGCCACAGCCCTGCCTGTTAGATTGGGCGCACAGGGCAGTATGGGGCCTGATCCTGGTGCGGGGGTCCTATGGCCCTATCGTGGCTGGGCAAGGGTGGTACAATGCTCAACCCCAGCACACAGAACCACCCCCCCCTCGAATAGTGTAGGGAGTGTGTGCTTGGGGCCAAGACTTGGAGTGCCACTGGACTACATGATCATAATTGTAAATTAGGGCTATAAAATTTGCAACTGGAAACCAATGGAAATAACCAGCAACAGGGATCTGTGAATGAGGTAGAGGTGGAAAATAGGCCTCCCAAGCTGTGAATGGTCATGTAATATGATCAATATTCAAAAATAGGCATTTGTAACGGAAATACTGCAAGAACTTAACTGCAAAATAGAAGTGCTACTCCTGCCAAAATACACATCATATGTCCTAGGAGGTCACAGAGTTTATTTTACAAAAATCACTCCAAGATGATTCAAGTCCATTGAAGTATAAACTATAAAATAAAGTGCAACTGCAAACTGAGGAACATACATGTGAAGGGAAACTTTCCTAATGTCAATATGCTCATTTAATCTAGGGCTGAAACACCTGGTCTCTGGATCCAGACTACGATGAGTTTATGGTAACCGTTCAGAGACTGATATTGCCCAAGATTTCTCATACCAGCCTGGAAGACTTCTGCAAATTATTCGAACAGAAGTGATGGATATCTTCCACTTTTATGTAACCACTGGCATGTGATTTCTTCATTCTTGCAAAATGCACAGAGGTCTTGAAAAAACTGCCTCTCAGGTTTTCAGCTGCATCCAAGTCAAAACACAAGAAAGAAACTTCTTTCAGTTCTGGCTACCAGGGCAGGTCAAGAGCTAAAGGTTTAACTCTAAACTTCCCCAAAATCTGACAGATTTCACACAGATGACATTTTCCTTTTGTTCCATTTCATTATTAAACAAAATATAATTATAAGATGGCCTTTTAACCCATGCCAATGTTCAGTCATTTAAAAATTAGTATATCTGTAGGCTCGCAAAGGCTGTGTGTACAAGAATCTGCCAGTCAAAGGAGCTGGCTTGAGATTTAAACAAAAAACAGGGGATTACTTGTTTCATACACAGCTCTGGTGGGGTTTCTTCTTATGGACATTCAGCATTCAGTTGAACAGTTTTGACACGCACCAGAAGTCTTTGTTTTGTTTCTCAAGTCCAGCTTAAGAATCAACATGAAGCGTTATTATCCATTAATCCAGTTGACGATGATTAGAATTAAACTGAGAAGACCAACAAAAATGCCAAACAAAAGTAATGCACAAGCCTGAGAAGACAGAAAGAAAAACCCCCCCACAAATGAATATTTGCCAATAGAAAGTACTTTAGACTTTTGAGAACGATAGTTAATTGAAAATGTAATTACAAAAGGAGAGAAAAACTTCCTCTCCTCCACTGACAGGTTTAAAATAATGCATTTTAAAACAATCTGCTGTATTTAAAATAACTGATTGATAAGTATTCCAACACAGCTGCTTTTTCCAACACTCATTAAAGACCACATTCAGAAAGAGATCTATCCACACAAGCACTAGGCTAAGTCTGTTTTGGGAATGATTTCACCAAGAATTCACTTTCAAGGTTGGTTTGGCATGTTCACAATATCCACCTGGGAACTGTGCAGAGGGGTGTGCTTAGCTTATTGAACTAAATTCCTGGAAAGGAACGACTTCCATTTGGCTCTATGGACATGTAGAGTTCCCAAAGAAGTTAAGGAATAGAAATAAAAAATTCTACTTAACAGACAGTTCAAGTTAAAACAGACTGCTAACTGCTGCGAGGATAGCCAGCGTAGACAGAAGTGGACAGCACAGAAACTGTGTTTAGATACATTGTTTTCTGTTCAACAACACCAAAACTGGTGTTGCAACACTAGGTGGATTATAGATTTATAATAGGGGGGGAAAAAATCTAACATGTTGGATTTCAGAGGGTAGGTAAAGCAAAAGTTCCCAGCTACTCGACACGTTCAGTTGTGAGGGAGTGCCAGTGCTAGAGAGTATTGCTAATACTAGTGCAGTCCAATGGGCAGTAACAGTAGAAGCAATGGTCTGCCAGTATTTTAAACCTCTGCATTATTTAGCTTTCCTCAGCTGACAATACCCTGGTCACTGGCAACAGGTCTGTTACCTGGAGTAGATTTCCGCCAAGGGATACCACTGGTGGTTCTGCACCTCTTGTAGCTGTCACTGGAAATTTTAAATAAGGGGGGCAGGGGAGGGGAAAAAGGGGAGGACTTTTCCAGACAGATTATTTGAGACTTGTGTTTGGCTTGACTATCAGAACAAAGCCAAACTATTGGAACCACATTTAAAAGCACAGATGTGTCTAGAAAAAAAAAAATCTCAGATATGACTATTGGGGAAAACTAGATTTAGATCAACATTGTGGTACTTAGACCTCTTGCTAGTTACAAAAACGTGATCAGAGAGATGGATTGCATTAGCTTCAGGATGACTAGAGAACTGAAACAGAACCGAGCAGAAAAACTGCCAACAACTATTGTAGACTTCACTCTACTGAAAGTCAGTGCAGTGCAGGAGGCAAGGCATATATTCTGCAGTATTAAATTTATTTAAAATTAAACCTCTTGAATATAACTAAAACATTGGAAAAAATAACATACCCCAAGTTTCTTCGGTGATATAAAGTCCTCTCTGCTAAGTTTAAGATAAAACAGTCCGGGATATACAAAGACCAAACTTGTTGATGTGGTAGAACCTTTAAGACAGTAAGAAAGATTTTACTTGCAGCAAGATTGGCGCTCGAATACGCAGATAATATACAATCTTTTTGCAGAGGGGAAAAACCCCAAACTTACCAACTACTCCAAATACGTTTCTAATGTCAGGCACATACATTGCAAGCAAAACAACAGTTGCATTAAGTGCTAAAGTGACAAGAATATGGCGTGTCCACGAGGCAGGGAGATGAGAGAAAAATATCATCATTACAGCCTTCCTTGCCTATTTAAAAATAAAGGGGAATAAAGTCAAGGCAGGTACAAAATTTTACTCCAAAAGCCAAATTATTATTTCCATTGTGATAAAACACAAATCATCATTTAGATTATCAGACTTTATTGAGAAGAGGAGGTTTTTGTTAAGATACATGTACTAACTTATTTCAGCAAAAGCCAAAAATAGGAAGGCTGGTACATATGCGCGCACGAGATCACAGACACACATACACACTATTGATACAGGAGATATCTATGCACAGGGATGGATTCGGGGCGGGTGCAACCACACACCCCTTTCATTCCTGCTGTAGATACGGTTTAAAACCAACTGTGTGGCAGCAGTGAAATCAATTGAAACCATGGCCCATTATTATCTATCCAGTTCCTCCTATACACTTGCTTCCATAGGTGTTAATGATCCTCTCTCCTTTTTAATAGTCTTGTTCCACTAATCAAGCGAACCTTTCTCCACAATTCTGCTGTGTTAGCTGCTCTAGTAATATAGCTCCTGTCCTGTTCACAGCACTAAAGACTGTCTTTAGTTCTAGCTAAAATCATTAAGTCAGATGTGGAAATAACTTTCAGTGAAGCACCGGACTGCTATCGGGTTGCTCAAGAAAGCTACCCTTTACTTTATGAATCTGAAAAAGAGCTGTGCCTTTAATTCCAGTGACTACAGGAGTAAAGAAACCAAATCTTTTGATTATTTTTCTGCCTTGTTTGTTGTGTTTTTTATATTTAATAGCAAGTTAATGCACATTCCAATAAAGTAATATTTGTTTTTGCATCAATTTTAAAATGGAAAATATAAGCCATACACCCCTAGCATATTAGTAAAGATCGCATTTATTTTTCACTGTAGCAAAATGTGTTGTTCCATATGGGATGATGCATCACATCATCTGAACTCCCCTTTTCAAAATCCTGGATCTGCCCATTATTGAATTTTTTTGTGCACAGAGACTATTAATAGAGGTACCTAACTGTTTATCTATGGCAAATGATTGTAGTAGCTGGCTACACTTTGATGCTCATATTTGCTGATGGGACTGTTCATTTACACAGACTTACGCTGAAAACTGAAGGCCCTCTCCACATGTTAACCAGTTAATTGAGCAATACCTGTAAACCGTGCAATTACCTAGAAACCAGCTACACATCCAATGTAGCTATTCCACCATAAAAAGTTCCAACCAGCTATAAAGTTAGATCTTGAAAACGTGTACTAACTTCATAGCTAGTTGCTATTGAGCTTTAATTTGCATGTGTAGCAGGGTCTCCTGTGTGGCTGGGAACACCGTGAGTTGATAGTGTACCCCCTACCAGCCGCAGGGGTGCACCATGCTCAGCGTAAAACCCTTGAGCCCTAGGGATTGTGGCAGCTGTGATGCCCAGAGCTCAGGGGTGTTTGAAAGCCCCAGATCCTGCAAATCATGGCTACTGCAGTCCCTAGGGCTCTGGGGTGTGGGTTCCCCTGCACTGGTAATAAGGCACAATGGGATTTAATCCACAATTGTGCCTGCTGCCATGCATGTGTGACATGGCAATAAGTCCAATTGTGTGAACTGCGCATTAGATCCCATCGTGCCTTTACCCGCACATGTAGAAGGAGCCTGAATGAGTTCTCACTGTGAAGTGTCCCAAACGTCTTAGTCATGTGATAAACATTACCTTAAGCGAGCATATGCCATGAAAACAAAAACTACCTTAAAAACGCTCAGTAAGTCATTAGAGACAGTATATATTTATTCTGCTGACTTGATTTTTCCTCTCCACAGATGTGAAAACAAAAATTTAAGGGGGGGAAAAGAATAACTCCAAACAAAACAAATTTCTGATGGCTCATATTATTTAAATTAGAAACACTGTGGGGTCGTTTAAACCTAATGGCAGCCTGAAAAAGCACAAATTAGCTTAGTGGCTAGCTGTTTTGGAGCTTTCATGGAACATATGCAAGTCTGGAGATCTTTGATCACAAATTTGACAAATAAGTCAGATATACAAAACTAGATATGACTCAAATATCGCAGTCTGCAAAGAATTAGTTACCCTCTGATGGCAACTTCAAAACTGGCAGGAGTACTCACAGGGAAATGGATTAGAGGGACTGTCAAAAGCACAGCAAACAGGAGGCCTAGCTTAACCGTCACGATGACAATATCATGAGGCAGGTACTTGCTGTAACACTGTAGTAATTCTGAGTCTACTTTGTCTGAAAAACCAAAAAAAAAAAAAAGGATTACTTCACAAAGCACTGAGAATTCAGAAACAGATTAAGAGTATTGTAGCTACATATTGATTCTCATAAAGCTTATACTGGGATCAACTAATCGACTGCTCTATGCCCACTGCAGCATGGAGGTAATGTGCATAACATTTCTTCCTGGCATCAACGAAGCCAACTACAAAACATCCATTTGAAAACAGGCAGAACCTAAAGATGGCCCCAACCCTGGATATGTGAAATCAAAATATATACAGTGAAAAGATAAGCATTGAGATGAGATGATTGAAGAACAGGAATGTCCAAAATTCACAGATGTACATATATGAAGTCACACACATTTGAATATTACACATAGCCCCCCAATGCATTACATTTGAGACCTGATTAGCTGGTTAACTGTGCCTTAAATAGTAACCTGGCCACCTGCAGAACTCCATCTAAGGCATGATAATGCAGTAAAGGAATTACGTTATTTCACAGAAAAATGTGGACTAATGTGGCTTGTGTCACACCTTAAATTAAAGATGTGGCTGGGACCTGTCAAAACCCTGTATGCCTCCCAGCTGGGCAGCACAACATAGTTTTAATAGCTCCTTGTGCACCAGCTGTATAAACCCTCATGAGCCCAGGCTCCCCCTGTACTAGCAAATAAGGCATGATGTGGATCTAATCCTCAGTTCCCAAAACCATGTGTCCTGTCATTCACATGCAGCATGGCAGGACATGCAACTGTTGGGATGGGGGGGATTAGATCCCATAACATAGGGAATAACGGTCACAAGCTGGCAGAGGGTAGGTTTAGGCTAGATATCAGGAGGCGCTACTTCACGGTTAGGGCGGCTAGGATCTGGAACCAACTTCCAAGAGAAGTGGTGCACGCTCCTACCCTGGGGGGTTTCAAGAGGAGGTTAGATGAACACCTTGCTGGGGTCGTTTGACCCCAGTACTCTTTCCTGCCATGGCAGGGGGTCAGACTACATGATCTACTCAGGTCCTTTCCGACCCTAGAAACTATGAAACATCTTAAAGTGAATGTCTATCGGGGCCATTACACGTCAGCTGTGGTATCAGTACTGACAATGAGACATGAGAGTAATTGCCACTCTAGTACCTATAAACACTAGGTTAAAGTGGAAAAAAAAGATGTCTGTATTGGGACCCCACAGATCTCAACCACAGTTCCAAAACTGTATCTGCCCAGAAAGTTGGTAAGGATGTTTTAGCACGACAGCTGGTTCATGCAAGAAGCCCTTTCAAAATGGAGTAATAACCTTGATCACTGATTGTACCCAATATGAAGTTATGCCTTTTGATGATATATTGTCCTCACTGTAACTAAAGAACATATCTGAAAGTCTCAGCTGCTGTAAAACATAAAGGGATTATTTTAAAGGGAATAACGATAACAGCAGTATTTTGCTGAGCATGAAAGGACGAACAAAATATTGGAGGTGAATTTTGGAAGTACCCTGGAGGGGGGTAAGAAAGAACTGAAGTGGTGGGGGGAAGAACTGGAATATAGCAATAGGTTCATAAGCTCCGTATCTGATAGTTAATAGTTCAATTACAGCAAGCCTTGTTAAAAAAAGGTAGACTGCATTTGGTGAGAGCTTGGACTACTAAACAGAGCTGCCATTTGGCAAATGTCTTTAAGTGTCTTACTGGCTCAGAGTGAAGAAAAGAAACGATGAGGAAGTAACAGACTATCCCGTTAGGCAGTAAATTCAATTCCCCCAATGGGAATAGCTGGATTTGATTGGCCATAACCAGGGCCTTTTGATATAGCCTTCAAATAAGAAATCCAAGAAGTGGCTAGTGGGGCTTGAAAACTTTGTTAACCAAACACAATAGGAAAAGAACCAGACCCAATAAGATTCTGAATATTTTTTTCTGTATTATTTTATAATCTTTTTTCCATATTATTTCTAAAGAATGCATGAATATTTAGCCTGTTCAGCTCCACACTACCTGCTGCAGCTTGGTATGACATATTTGGGAGACCCTGCTATAGCACTGGGCTAGATGCTGAGAAGTACTGATGCTCATTAACATTTCTAGTTTAAAGAATAAAGACCTCAGGGGTAGTGAGAGATCAGAACCATTTCTGTTCAATTTGGATGCAGAAAGAGGATGGCATTCATACAGCCAAGGGCATCACACCGTACAACCGGATCTTTGTGTCTGGGATGCACAATAGGGAACCTTTTTGGTTACATCAGATGACAAATTCTCCCAGAAGCAAACTCCTGCTTCTTAGCCAACTGACCTTGCACCTTCAACTTTTCATCGATAAAACTGTAAGTAATACAGACGAGAGAGAAAAAAAAAAAAAAAAAATCAGAATTTCCATGAGTAGCTGCAAAGCCACTAATTTAAAAAAGGAAATCCCACTAACTCCTACTCACTTGTGCATACTGCTGTGGTCCAGTATGTACATTCGGTTGCTACTGTTAGACCAATTACACAGGAGAAGAATGATGCTACTGGTCACACTACAACACAAGTCATGACAGTCAGTAGGCTTAAAAATAAACAAAAAAATTTTGACTTTTAAGATTGTGATTTTGGTTTACATACCAATGAGAACATATAAAGGAGCAAAAACGCTGGAGGCTACAAGTGGGAGAGGAACAATGGAAAACGCGCTGGTCATACCCTGTTCACGCTCCCTTTCAGTAGCTGTACTCTGCCCGTGTGCGACACAGGAGACTGGGCAGGATGGCCCCATAGTCTGACCAGTACGTGGCAGTTGTTATGTTCTTAAAAGATGACCCTCAATTACTGCCAAGTTAAACTTAGGGTGGTACAAGAATTTAAGAAAGAAAAGGAAGGTAACTAGAGCATTTTAAAATAGAGATAAAAAGTTTTTCAGCTGTGATGATAGCAATTTTTTAATCTCCACTACAGCTAGTCTTAAAATGGGGAAGTTAAGTTAACTCCTTCCCCTTCCATTGTAGTATGTAGTTGGCTATGGGAAAAAAAAGAGAGAGGAATAATCTGTAAATAGAAAAAGAGTGAACTCTGAACACCTTCCCCTCTCCTACCGCCAAAGAGCCTCAAGGAAGGCGGTATTACAGAAATTTCACCAGGGTTATTTCACCCTCTATCAAACTAACTCTGGAATACTCAACCCAGCAAAAATTCATTTCTTAGACACTACAATAAGTGGTTTGCAATTGCCACATGACCACCATATTGTACCAGAAACCAACTGAATGCCATAACTACCTTCATGCTAGTTTTCATGCTAAGCACATCACTAGATCCACTGCCTACAGCCAAGTTCTACATTACAAACACATCTGCTCTAGTCCCACCAACTGGGGTGCACACCGTAGGCATCCGGAGCAAGCATTTCTACCATTACAATACAATCCCCAACTGTAGCCACTCCAGTCAACAGAGCCAGATGCAGACTTCACTCTGACCTGTTACAATAATCAGGAGAAGGACCATAGAAACCATCTCATCATCCCACTGCCCCTAGCTTGAATACACCATTAATGATCTCTAACCCTCCTTGAAAAGAAAGACGGACCATCTCAAAGTAACCCTATGGGATAAACCTGTCCTGGCTTACAGGCAGCCCCCCAATCTCAAACGGCGTCGCCCGAGCAGTGGGCTACTTAATTCCCTGGCTCACTGAGGCACTAGGCCCTGCAACAGACCCAGATGCCTTCTGTGCCCCAACATCAACACAGATCACATAATCATGGGACTAAAGAACATGGGTTATAAATAGGGATAGGGACCTACTCAATTTGTGATTTTGCTGAAACAAAAAACCAACAACCCCAAAACCTCTCAGATGTCCAAGAAGAACCCCTCCCCCCCCCCAAAAACAACCTATTAAAAATAAAATGCTGCCTCCCCAGTGGGAGCCAGCTATCCTCATGGCTGCTGTGGCCTGGCCTTGCAGCCAGCTGTGCGGGGCACAGTGAGAAGGGGAGCAGCCAAGATGGCATGGCCCTGGGGAGGGCTCATGTGATGGGCAGCCCCCTTGGCCAATCAGAGGTGTGGGGAGGGGAGGGGTGCCACTATAACCCCATGAAAAGCGGCAGCTGGCCCCGCGATAGGCCCATGAAATCAGCCACCCGCCTCCTTGAATTCGGTAGGTCCCTACTAATAAACATCCAAGATCCATTGACTTGCAACTCTACCCATGTCATATCTGCCATCACCTATTGACAGTGCCCCTCCGCAGGCTACACTGGACTGATTAGGGCTTGCTCATGTCCTCTCCCAGTCCTGCGCCCCCTCCCCTTCTCCCTCCTGCCTATTGCGTTCAAGCTAGGGGTGCACTGATAAAGATTTTGTTAGCCAATACCAATAGCCGATTATTAACCGACCATAACAGCTGATGCCAATCTGATAACTGGTATTTCGTAACAATGCAAGGCATTTTAAACTACCGACAAACCTTTTTTTGGGGTGCAATCCAGCAGTCTCCTGAGTCACACGTGTCACCATCTTGGTGCTTAAAAATGGGGGTGGGAGCGCTTGAACTAAAGCTTGTTGAATGCACTTTAGTTCAAGCGCCACCATCACTGTTTTTAAGTGCAGGGACACTGATACATTAGTTGCTGCAGCACTGTAGCTAGAGCAGCTGTCTAATTAAAGCAGTGCCCCTCAGTAAAAGTACCAAGGGGCAGCTGCCTGAGCCTGCCCAGCAGGGCTGAGGGGGAAGGTGTGAGCCTAACTGGCTGCCCAGGGCTGGGTGGTCTCTGGGCTAGGCTCCCCACTCTCCTCCGTCTGCACGGGACAAGGCCACAGAGCTATTCCATGCCAGGAGAAACTGGTCCCGGGAGTTGGACTCTAGCAGGAAGAAGGGCCCTTCTCCTTTCCCCTCCTGGAGCTGCTGCTACCCCCCACCTCCAGCAAGCTGCCCAGGGCTTCATCCTGCTCTCTGCCTTAACCCATGCACTATCCTGGCTGGGTAGCACCCTCAGTCCCAGCCCCTGCCCCACTACCTTCCTCACTGTGAGGGCCTCAATCTGCTCCCCCCACCACGCCCCTTCCCCTCCATAAACTTACCTTCAGGAAGCTGCTCTCCATGCTACCTAACTGTATTTCTGGCCATGTGCTTGCGTGCAGCCATGCACATGCACACAGCACCCCCTGAGTCTTGCTCCCCGCAGCCTCCAGGAAGACGCCTTGCAGACTAGAATGCCGTCTGCCTGAAAAGGGAAAGCCACCCTTTCCCTGAGGGAATTCAGGCATCCAGGAGCCCTGGCTCCACAGGGGAGAGGGAACCCAGGCGTCCAGGGGCCTAGCCTGACGGCATAATTAATTGGTAAACATTATTGACTACAACAGGCAAAAAAACCCGATAGTCAATAATGGAAATTTCCCTTTTATCGATGCAGATCTGGTAGGCAACCAATATATCATTGAACTATATAATCAGGGCCGTCCCTAGTGGGCTGCGAATCAGCTCCACTGCCCTGGGCCCCATGCTTTGGGGAACACTGGGGAGCCAGGCAGAGTGGCTGCGTCCAGCCACTTGCTACCGCACTGCTCCCCACTCCCCAGCTGCTGCCAATGGCTGCAGCAGCTTTTTCAGATCCGGGGCACGTGGGATCGGGGCAGCGGCAGGGCCTCGCTCGAGCTTATTTGCCCCAGGCCCCACACCCTGCTTGGGTCGGCTCTGTATATAATGGTTCAAATTTTTCTCCTTCTTACGCACTGCTTTATGCGCATCTCTTTACAACAACTGATGAAGTGAGTTTTGATGACAAAAGCTTGTGCTAGAGTATCTATTTTAGTTTGTCTATAAAGGTGCATATCTACCCTGCCTAGTACTAGTCATGTCAGAAAGATGGCAGCAGTGGTCCTATACCAGCAAAGTGGCTTAGGTATGCCAAGGCTCTCCCATGCAATTCATAGCAGGGACTGTAGGCACCTAGAACACATTTAAAGACTTCTGTGGTCACAAACATTAATGCTTTGAAGAGGCATTTAATTTTGTAAAAAATCTGTGCAGTATCTTAGAGCTCAGTAACGATTATTATTTGCTGAGGGTCAACATGCTTGGTGCTATACAAGATGATGTCCACCTCCACAAACTTTCTAAACCTGCAACACATACTATGAGACCCAGATGTGGGCTTGTTTTCAGAATACTTTTCCCCCACTGGTTTGCTACGAATATTTATTTATTTAGACAAATGTATGTTAGTGTGTGCTGACTTCCAGAGAGGAAGCAAGTTTTGATGAGCAGTTAGAAAGCAAAATCCTTTCAGGGTTTTTACTTTCTAACTGTTCATCAGGGCCACAGAGCATTTAGGTGACTGTATTTGTATAATACCACCATACTGCAGAGGGCAGTTGATCCGGATTGCTGGATGGAAACTTGAAAGAGAATCCAATGCTAGCATGCACACTACCTGAACAAAGCATACAAGGTAAAAACAGAGCAGGGGACATGGAAGAGCAATACTATGATGCTACACAACAAGGCACTGCAAACATTGTCACACTGGAGCACCAGCCACACAACTACGAAGGTGTTTCTATCTACGTTATACAAGGAGATTAAACTGATACGTTGCACAGGTCACTCACCTATTTCTGTCAACGTTATGATGGACCTTTAAAAAAAGAAAGCCACTGTGTAGGTAAGAGTTCTGAAATCTGATCATACACCTGGGAAAATGCAAGCCCTGCTAAAAAGCGGCATCTGGAAGTATTCATGAACTGCATCTTCACCTGCAGACACTTACTAAATTGCTGCTCTAGCATACAGCCATATAAGATGTTTAGCAAAACGGTGTCTGCAGAACACATACGAATGGTTTTCATATGCGGAGTCTTAATCAGAAAACTTGATTCTATCTATCAGAAAAACCAGTAACACCTTCATATCCCTCATGAAATGGAAGGAACTTTTCAAGAAGCCTTCCACACTAATCACATCTTGGTCCCTATGGCCACTATCATCCACAGTGTGTCATCTTGTTTTCTTTCATCCTTTTGTTCTCCTTTAGGCCTTGCACAGCAGAAGTGTTTTTAGGAAGTTACCTTGCGTAAAGAAACATGAGGCAAGTCATGAGTATGACTGCTTAGATAATCATTTGCTTAACTTTCTTTTTTGTTTGATTGGCAGATTCCTGCACCAATTTGTGCAATTTCATTTTAGATAAGCCAATAAAAGGAATTTACATCTTGGATCACGGACTGCCTTCAAGCTGCATGCGGTAAAGCTTCGGAAGAGGTTCAAAGGTAACTAATGCCCCTTGACATCTCCCTGAACCTAGAGCTGTCCTGCTACTAGTTGAGCCCATGGAGTAAGGCATGACAGGCTCTGTGCTGCATGGTGCGTTACAGGGGGGCAAGGCAAAACAAGGAGTAGTTTAGCTTGTGACATGTCTCTGGTGTAGAATTGTACTTACAGCATTGTCCTTTCACTAAACCCAGATAAAAGGGGGAACTGTTTACCTGAGTAATTGTTCAGGCATTAATCTTGCAAAGGCTTACAATCTTTATATGCTGTGAAAATGATGTCACAAAGTTTGCAAACATTAAGCAGAATTGGGACCCAAGTAGCTGTAACTATTTCAAATGTGCAATATGTGCTTTAAATCCTCCAGATATTACCATTATCTACTTGCATGCCAAACACACCATTTTCCTCAAAAATAAGCCCTCTAAAATTGGGGTCCATGTCAAGTGGGAAAGCTGATTTTTCTTTGCTGGAACAGAAGCATGGAAGAATAGAAGTAGGGAAACACCGCTGCAAGATGCCTGTCATGCTTCTCCCTTTGCTGGCCTTGATGAGGGAGAAAGTGAGAGGGCACAGTTTCATCCTTTAGGCCAGGTACAGACATTACACTCTTACTGGTATAAGTGATTACTCAGAAACCAGTTTATACCCATAACAGAACAGAAATTCAGCACGCAGACTGGTTTAAATGTGGAAGAACCCAGTCTAAAGGCACAGCTAGAAGTCACAATTTTTGACTGACCTGGCAACAGAAAGCAGTTTATAGCTGTGACCAAACACAAGTGCAAAGCTGCAGACAGCTTCAAAAATGGTTGGCCAGGTGAAAATCTGATCCCTCATTGCATGAGGCATCAGATGAAGATGTTTCAAAATGTAGTGTCTTCTATAACGTGTGCCTGTGGACTCCCAGCCTGTCACTGTTTTCAGAATGGGAGGGGGGGAAGGGAATGGAGGGAGTTCAGTTTGGGTTTTTTTCAGTCCCCACCGAGGGTGGGACGGGTGTATTGGTGCCGCCCCCCCGAGGGTGGGGGGGGGGGGGGGGGCCTGACTTTACCCATCCCACACTTGAGCACTGGCTGGGGAGCCCCAAGAACAAGCTCCCTCCACTGCCATTTCCCCCTCCCCTTCTGAAAACGGGGAGCACTGGCAGACAGCCATGGCTGTCGTTGCTATGGGAGTCTGCCTGCACGCTCCCAGCCCACAGCTGGATTCCCCGCCCCCCAGGATCCAACAGTGAACCTCTGTTTGGTCTGGGGTAACGCTGTAACTCGGAGCACACTGCAGAAAATGTTCCAAGTTACATCTGGAGCTGCACTTCTGTCTGCACCTGAAGAACTGCATCTCCCCATGAAAGGGCTAATGTGGTCTGTTCACTGCCAATCTAAACTACACCACTTACAGAAAACCTTCTAATTTGGATCGATACCACCTCAGATTCCACTGTTTGAATGTCTGTACCTAGCCACAGGGTCGGAGCTAGTGTCAACCCTCTTTCAGCCACAGTGGCTGCAATCCGGATCTCTTATAGTCAGCATTTAGCCATGACTGGAAACATTTTTTAAATCTTCACTATGACTTCCCAAAACAAGGTGCATGTCTTATTTGGGGGCTTATACAATACACAAAAAAGTAGGCAAGTCCTCCAGAAACTTGTACCCCTTAGCGTGCAAATATACTGAATAATTCAAATCATATAAAAATCAAGGACCAAAGTCCTTGGAAAGAGGCAACATTTTTTACACTTACTATGCAGTGCAGGATGTCAAAAATATTTATTATTACCTTGCAGTCTAAACAGTTGAAGAACATACTCACCATAAAAAGTAAGGTACCCAAACAAGGCAGACACAAAATAGATTACAAAACTCAGACTAATTCCTGTGATGGTCACATTCTGCATTCTGCTTTTGGATGGACTAGAATACAAAACAAAACCAAAACACAAAAGACAAGAATGAATGTTGCTTAAAACTGTAAACTGAACATTTCACATTGTTTTTAAAGACTGCTTGCAATTCTGAGATTCACCTTTTACTTTGCCCATCTATGTTTATAATAAGTAACCACATGCAGGCTCTGTTATGGCAGGAGGTGGGGGGAGGATTGAATGTTGGGCAAAGGATTTGTTCCCTGCCCTCACCCCATA